TATATTTCCAAAACACTGTTTTGCCTTTAAGTAGTTTCCAAATGGAAATTTTTAAGCTTTCTGTTTATTTTGATAATAAACAGTAATGTAGGTTTATTGCAGGTTTTTTGCAACAGTTAAAATCAGTAAAACAAAAACAACAAATACACCATCAGGGGTATGTTGTAACAGGAACAAGAGCTTGCCAAAGGTTACTAGGTCCAAACTGAATGTGTAAAAACTGGAATAATTTACAAACCATACAAATGGTTTGCTGCATATGTGCAACAATGGGCATCAAGGGAATAAAGCTTATCATCAAGGAGAAATTGAAAATGTACTGGTTAAAAAATTACATAAATAATTTGCATTGGTTATTGAAAGGGTAAAAACTTTTGTGTTATGATTTGTTTATGCCATTGTTAATAAAATATCTGTCTTAAATGTTGTTATTGGGCACTAAGTTTTAGGAATCCCTGTTCATAAATGTTAATATTTCTTTTAAACTGGTTTTGTAAAAGTTTTGTGGTTGCTTCCATAGCTCAAAAGTTGATAACAAAAGGACAGATTAATCAAATTGTTAAACAGAAAGAACCTCCATCACAATTGAATCCTTAATTAGAATAAAAGATAACAATATGGAAAGCCTAATATTTTCGTATAATCGTATAAGTTGTGTTTTCCTTATCTCTGAAGTGTTTGTCATTGCAATATAGAAAGGTTAAACAAAATTATAGTACATTTAATGTTAAGGAATTGTTTTTCCACATTAATACTACTAGTTTCCAAATATAAAATATCCTTAGGGATATGATATTTGAGAGAGTTAAAGTGCATCTTCTCTTGGCTTTGGGACCCTAAGCAGCTGTTTCTACTTTTGATATTTTACCAGTTCTACATATGAGAGTGAGTACAGTTAACCCAGAAAAAAATAACTCTCCCTGTGGTTTGGGGAAAACACCCTGATGTAATACAAGGGCGATTGTCAGACTTTACAAGTGTTAATATTTACTATTATACCTTTTACAGATTTTTGTTGCTGGTAGATTTTGTTTTTGTTACTAGTTCTAATCCTGTTCTGTTATGCAAAATTCATATAAACAGTAAAAAAGTAAAGTAATCCAGGTTGTGACTTTATGTCATCAGCTTTCTTAAAGGCCCAATAAAGCATGTTAGAATAAAGCTAAGATATTGAAGAGACGAATGATTACTAATTTGATTATCCTTATTGGTCTCATGTTTATTTCATTATATTTTTTTTATGCCCACAGCTTTTGCTCTGATGAAATTCCCTCTCATTCACACCAATATATTCCTTACCTAATGTCTTTGGATCCCCTTCATATGCACTGCAGTCTAGTTAATAACCAACTGACCACCTGAACCTTTAAAACAGGACACAACATTACCTTTATTGCTGGTTAAGAAGATACTAAATGAAAATGAATGAAACTGATTTATACAGTAATTAAACAAGGTGTTTAAATTTGTTGAAAAAATTATGTAAACACTTTTTTAATTCTTATTTGGGCCCATTCTGTATATTAGCAATAAGTATAAAGTGGTGATTTTAATTGTTTTTTTATTCACAAAAAGAAATCAGACAAAATTTTAACCAATTAATATTATCATGGCTGCACAGTGGAGCAGAGGGTGGCACTGCTGCCTTGGAGCCAAAAGGTTCTGGGTTCGATTCCTGGCCCAGATCTTTCTGCATGGAGTTTGCATGTTCTCCCAGGCATGTGTGGGTTCTCTCCGGGTACTTCCACTGTCCAAAAACATGATTGTTATGATAACAGGCCTTTCTAAATTGTCATTAGGTGTGAGTGAATGGTTGTTTGTCTCTGTGTTGCCCTGCGATGGACTGGTGACCTGTCCAGGGGGCACCAGCATCCCTTGCGACCCTAGCAGGGATAAGGGTGATGGATAATGGATGGAAGGATAATATAGTCATGTTTGCTTATTTTGAAAAAGTAAGAACTACAAACAGATTTGTAGTTGAGAAAATGTCGGGAAAGATCTGTACCATCAGCTCAGTTGCGCATGCTCATCCATGTATACACCCAGGTTGCACTCCATTTTATTTTGTAAAAAGACCTAAATCATGTTTTTCCTCCCAAAAATACTAAACATATACAAAAATATAATCTATTAAAGGTTAAATATTCATTTCCTGAGAACATAAAGCCTTAAAATCCTTTTTGTTATATCAGTCATCTCTGCCCGATATGCATCGGAAATGGGATCCTGCGCTACTTCCGGGGGCCAACTTTTTCGGCTTTGCCTTTAAACCAAATCAAGTCTTTTTGATTTTTATGTGTTCCTTTCATGTTAACATTTTTGGTATATAGTGTGTAATCTAAGGTAAGAGACAACTAAAATGCACATAAACATGGTTTAATCATATTTTGACGGACTGCTCTGAGCATGGGCGATGATGACTTCAGACAAGCAGTTTGAAGCAGAAAATGTAAAAAGCATCAAAATTGTCTCAGAAACATTTTTTTAAAGATGTGTAGTAGCATTCTTTAGTAAATTAAGGATAGAGATAAGTAATTTTAGTACCATGATTATATTATTAAGGAATGTACAAATTTTGTTCCCAGCTAGCTAGCATAGGGAATGGGCTAAGGTAATTTAGTAGCAAGCTAAAAGTCCAAACCAAAAGGTTAGCATTTAACCTTATTTGAATATATTTAAACTGAGTTTTTTTCCAGGCTAAACTTGGCAGAACAGTTTTAGCATTATAAATACAGTCATTCCAGCAAACTGAGCCTCCTAAGCATGGAGCAGCCATTGCAATTGAATGTAACATCCAAACAGAGGCTGTCAAGGATAAATGTATGGGCCATTTGTTAATAGTTTAGCAACAGTGCTATTTAGCATGCTAAAGTCGCACTTGCTATCATGCCTCCCAACTATCAATGGCAATTATTGAAACATCTTTGCTCTGGTTGTTTGGAAATGTTTATAAGCCTGAGATTTCCAATTTAGGGATCAATAAAGTATTTTGAGTGGATTTAAGCTGCCTTATATTTAAAACAGCTCAAGATTTTACAAGTTTAGCAGTTTTTGATAGTATGCTAAATGTGGACTTGCTAACTAGCTAAGCTAGGCAGCTGTTCCTAATAATAGATAGATGTTAGCTTTGGGTATAAGGAACATTGTTTATATGCTAGATTTTTTATCAGAGAAAAAGTTTATCTACCAGAAATTCTTTTTTTTTTTTTTACAACGAAGAACAAAATAAATGTCGATAGAGATTTTTATAATTTGAAGTTAATTAAGTTTTGTTGAGTAACAACATTTTGAAAATTTATGAAAATAACTTCAAATTCAAATATCTATCCAAAGTGATACTATTTCTCACAAAGAATTGTATATAATCAAAATGTGGTTATATGGCAACAATAAATAAAAGACACATGCGAGGAGTTTATATTATACAAAACATCTAATGTTTGATTAAATAAATGTAAAAAGCTGTCAAAAATGTATTCCAAGTGTTTAAGTTTCATGACTGTACATCGGTGTCCAAACATTTTGTCTTATGGGTAAAGAAAACATTGTCAAGTCAAAAAAAAAAAAAATTATTTCAGAATAAAAAGAAAAAAAAACTGCCCAACAATGAACTAAGCAGGCAATATTTTGGTAAAACTAATGAAGTAGGGGTTTTGTTTTTTTTGTTTTAAAAATCTGGAGCTATATATATCTTTGTGAATCTAAATTTTAAAAAAGGTTTTGAAATGTTAGCCTCACTATTTTCCTGATAAAAAAATACAAACTCTGAATTAGCTTCCACCATGTGTGCGACAAAATTTGGATAATTTACAAAGTCAATCCCGGGGCCACAAATTGCCCCTGCACCACACTTTGGATACCATGCTGTAAATAATAATTTTTTTTAAAGTTGTTGCAAAAGTATAGTTAAAAATGTCAGGAAATTGACAGACTGCAAAATTATGTAGTAAATAAACAAGTTAAATCAGGAAACGAGGTTGTTGCCTCAGTACGGATAATTAATTGACCCCAGTCTTATTGGAGATCTAATTTTGTATAAGGGTTACATTGCCAGTGCAAACAATATAAACATCTACCAATTTTTTTTCCTGTACAAGTCAACAAGATAAAGGAGAAAATAACCTAATCACCATCTTCTTTTTTAAATAACACAAGTTTAAGATATGTGTTACTGAAAGAGTGATTATTTAAAACATAGATGATATTTAATGCCTTCCAAACATTTTTTTTTTGTGTGTAAACAGAAAAGGACATTTTTAATCAATTACTGCATTTTTACCTGCAATCCCCCTGGTGCGATTCTGATTGGAGGGTCTTGACTCTTTCATCCAAGGGAAAACCTTTTTGTTCATCGTAAATTTATTTGGGTTTTGCGATTTGGACCTCCGAGGAAGTTCAAGCCCACCCTCTCCACCATGCTGGTGGGCCGAGGCTTGATGAGAGCCCCCGAATCCAGAACCACCATCCACAGACTCACTGAAGAAACCGTGAGGATGGCTGCAACTGTGGCGGATGTTACTCTGCATTATGTGCACCACAGCCCCCTTTGACCTTCTGGTGCAGAGCTGGCAGCCAAATGTCACATGGCAGGTTTCCAGAGACTAGAAGGCTTCAGGCCTGAGAGGATCCAGGAGGGAGAAGAAAGGAAAGACTGAATCAGGGAGGAGATTAAATGATCCATCTTATCAACTCAATAGTAAGCTGACATGAATGGCAAGCAGGGTTGAGAGGCAAAATGTGGACTTTGGTGGAAAAAACACAAATAAAGAAATGCAGTATTTGCAAACTATTCTAATTTGAGCTTTATTGTGTGTCATTTGAAAATATATTATCATGTTTAACATTTCAAATTGTGTTTTAAAAATAATTTCTGTATTAAATTGCAAGAAAGAAAAAATCAAAACAGAGAAAATGGTTCTTTTTTCTGGAATGTTTCTCTGTTATTTTAATAAAGAGAACTTTAAAAAGGGCAAAAATTACATAATGTGGTTAAAGAAAAATTAATAAAAAAAATAGACGAGGCTTTATTGTGTTTTCCGTGGTGTTTTCTGACATTACATTAGGTCTTAAAAGTAACAGCCTTTGTTCTGCTAAAGAAAAGCTGTTTACAAGGGGAAAAATTAAATGTTATATCACAATCTGCTGAAAAACACATCCATCAAATGCAAAATTATACAAATGTCTACTGTGCTGCAGCTGCTGCACGGTTTGTGCCCCGAACTGAGATCAAAATCCGTCTTTTCTGCAGCTTCTCAAAGGGAGAAGAAAAAAAAACACATTAAATTCAATCTTCTTCCAAAATTAAACAAAACCAAATTATTTTCAGCAAGAGGAGATAAAAAATGCAGTGAGGGAGTGAGAGAGAATAAGTCTGGAGGCATGCAGCTTTATGAACTCTGGGTGAACCGCGGTTGGAGTCAGGCTCGTAAATCATAAAGACACATAACCCAGGCACAACAGCTCGGCTGCCTTACCTTCAGCGCTCATTCCGGCGCGCGGAACAAAAACACGCAGGATTCCTCACACCTTTAGGAGCGTGTAAATAAAAAAAGAAAGACTCCAACAGATTAAGGCAAACCCTATAGTGAAAGTGGTGCAGGTGGATGTGCGGGGTGAAGAAGCAGCAGAGTGAAGGTTTTCTCTCTGCAGCTCTGACCGCCCTGCGTTTGCTGTTAATCTGAACTCTGCGTGGGTGTGTGTGTGTGCGTGAAAAAAAAAGAAGAAGAAGCCCTTTCTGCTGATCTTGCAAACTCAGATTCATATATGGCAATAGCTGTGAAATAAAGTTATCAAAAATAGATTTTTTTTTAGGAAAATAAATGACATGCACACAAAAAAAATTTGAAATATACTTTTTAAAATGCAATAAATATAATTTAGTTGTATATAATGCCTGGATTTATTTGTTAATCTACCATTTTCAGCACATAGGCCTGCACTGCATCCCATTCAGGGCCGAAAAAGAAAGAAAAGCTCTCCATAAGCAGTCCTTGTTCCCATCCCCTAATTTAAATGGACCCATTTCAACAGAGCAGAGCAGGTCGGTGCATTAAAAAGTCTCTGTGCAGAATTCTGTAATCCTGCTCATCTGGCTTCCCACGGTGGACAGTCAGGCTGCAGCAGAGAATCGATATAAGCTTTGATCCTCTCATTTTCACCTTTTTTTGTTCACTCGCTTTAATCGGATCCTTAAGGTAATAATTAACTAAGTAGCTTTAATTCATGCAAATTGGAGTCTTTGATCTCTGAGGCAGAAAGTGTTAAAACAGAAAAGCAATCTGATGCCACAACCATACATAAAGGCTGAAACAGATGTTTTGCGTATTTCTGCAATGGCCATTTAGATAATAATAAATTAAACGCTTGTAAGCAGGCACACTGCAAAGGAAAAAAATCTAAATCTAAATAAGTATTTTTTTCTTTAAAAAAGTGCATTTTGTCTTGAATTGCAAAGATAAGTGAGACACATTGCCAATGAAACTAGACAATTTACATTTAAGATAAGAAAAAAACAATTGCAATGTCTTATTTTAAGTGCACATTATCTAAATATCTTATTTACCTACTAAAATTAAGAGGAAATTCACTTAATTTATGTCAGTTTTACCTATTTCTAGATCATTTTTGCAGTGTAAGAGTAAAAATGTAGATGAAAAAATAAAATAAAATCACCCATTAAACACATTTTTAGGCAATAATATAGTGATATTTGGTGTTAAATTGATTCCCCTCTTTTTTTCTTCTTCTGCATTTAATAGAAAACGAATAAATGTAATTTTCCTTTCAACGCTTTTGATCGCGACACAAATGCAACGTTTAAATTATTGTCATAATTTAATCCCGAAACATTAAACTCCAAAAATAAAATAAAATCAAAATTGAACGTGTTTTCCTGAAATGCACTGCGGGAAACATGTGTTCGCTGCGAAACTGGTCAATAAAACCATACGTCTCACTGATGGCCTATAAAAGCTGCCATAAAAACAGAAAGAAAATCAGCAATGAGTGCGCTGTTTAGAAAATAAAACGCCTGCTGATGTATGGGAGGAGGTTGCTGGGATGACGGTGGAGGTGCAGATATCTGTCTGATCTGATTCTACCACCCAGTCAGCATCTATATGCTGGCTCCATGTGACTTTTTACTGGGCTAGATTTGCAATCAGAAAATTTTAGTTTGAATAAAAAAATAAATAAATTAGTTCAAGATTTGTAGAACATTTAAGACTCATATTGGTCTGACCTTTCACCCCAAAAGGTCCCACATTAAAACCTAAACAGTCATTTTAAATGGGTTCATCATGTATGGATAAACCCAACATGTATTCCTTTATTAATATAACTTTTTTTTCCGACAATATAAGCTCCATTTGAGAATTTGTTTATTAATATTAATTTTAAAGTGTAACACGTGTCTACATAAATTAATAAGCCAAAAAGAGAATTTATTTTTCACTCTGAAGTGCAATTACAGTGCAATCCAGCCAGGGGCAGCACCAAAGGGGGGTAAGGGGGGGTCAATGGCTAACCACTAAAATTCACTACCCCCTCCCCTTTATCTAGAGTAAATCCAGGGGGGAAATTAAAGGTTATTCTGTATCTTACAGGTATTTTTGTGTCCCCATCTCTTCACCTTGCTCCATGCCACTATTTATGGATGTGCCAAAGTGAAGCTGCAGCTTTTTTATTTTTTAAAATCATGTTTTTTGTGGAGACGGCCCCCATCTGGCCATGTTATTAACGGTTTTTTGATGACACTTCTGACTTCAGTAAAGAAACAATTATCAAAAAATAATTCAGATTTGAGTAAGCAGGTTTGTCATTTATTCAGAACACGTTTAATTATTAGATTTTTTATAATTTGGTATCCTTAAAGTTTTATATAGAAAAATATAACATTAAATTTAAAGTACTGGGATCCGTATTCCATCAAAGAAATCAAGCACTCTCAAATCTTCTGCTAATCTCCATGCTCCAAACAGTAGTTTACTTCATTTATGCCTAGATGAGCTTTAAATGCATGTTAAGAGCCCTGTAGCCTGTAGTTATCACTCAGCATCACAGAGTTCATCCCCTCACTGCTTAACAGGGCTGCTTGTTTGAAGTTTGATAGACATGGGCAAGTCTCACCAGCCTCCATGCAACGTTCAGGGCCCCGCTGACAAATGCAGCTCTCCGCAAAGCTCTCCTTTTGGTTAGCTGCAGGAACCACGTGTTTGCAGGCACAGGCTATCCATTGCTCTGAATTAATCCAGAGACAGTTGAATCAACAGTGGCAGCAACTCGATTTCCCACCGACAACATGAGCAAGGTAGTAAATAAACTAATGCACTGATAAGCAAGCAACACAGATTTGTTTTCAGAGCCTTTAAAAGCAGCAAATAAACACAATAACAACACTTTGAAGTAGACGGATAACTCCTCATATTGATAGTAACGATGGTGCTTCATTAAATTAAATTAATAAAAGAGTTTGTAATCCTTTGTAGAATTTGTGCAAAACAATAAATGTAATTTAATCCTAAATTAGTTTGACAACACTTTTGCAAACTTACCTTCTTTTGCAATCTTCTTCTTTTTCCTCATCTTCTTATCTTCTCCTCTGGACAGATTCTGCTTCCAGTCGACTCGGGTTGTAGCTGTTTTGTCAAGCCCCTCTTCACATTTAGCCCTGCGAACTGCAACTCCTCCTCGGCCACAGACAGAGGGGACATGACAAATGATGTGCTGAACAATGGCTACATTCAAGGCTCGCTCTGCAACTCTCCCAGATGTCATATTCACTAACAATGTGGTGTAAGAAAAGGGAAGAGGGGTGGGGGAAAGGGGGGTTCCACTGATAGCTTACAGCTTAGTTGATATAAATGCAATGTTTCTTACCAAGAACAGATATGGTGAAGTTTGCTTTTGATAGGTGTTAAGTTTCTTCATGTTTCTTCTGTGGCTGAGAGGTCATCGCCTGCATACTCCCCAAGATGAGAATCTGTGACTCCTTGAGTATTCACACAAATTCGGACCTACAGGGTGTATACCGGTGACACATCACTTTGTCTTTTCCAACAAAAAAATAAAACAAGTATATCCTATAACACAACCAAGAGTCTCCCATTTAAGTTCAGCTGTAAACTTAGATGCCTTCTAAACATGTTTGCTAATGTTATGTCCATTATGGAGATAAATTCAGGAGGTTTGGTTGGTAAAATCTCTTTGGCTGGTTTATCTGTTCTTTAAGCAGTAATAATAATACTAACAAACCATTCTGAATAAAGTTTTCTTCACGTCAACATTGTACTAATCAATGTTGGTTAAGCATTAGAGGCCTTATTTGCAATTTCTCAATAAAAATTTGGAGGTTATACATCTGCAATCCAGTTTAATAAGGAGACTAAAAACTACAATAAATAATTTTTTTTTTTCTCTAAATGATATATTTAATTTTCACTTTTAAAGAGTAAATATGCCTCTGGAACTGCAAGGCCTCAAGTCCCACCCTGCTGTATGGTTAACCAGTCACAATCTAACTTCAGCATTAGTTATATTCCTATATGGTGTCAATTCCCTAACAAAGCTTTAATAAAAAATTATTGGTAGGAATTTGTTAATTAATTTCTTTATTCATAAATAAAACAATGAAAGAGAAATACATTCAGCTAGAAAAATTAGTTAATACTTTATAGGATGCCATGAATGTTTATCAAGCATTAGTTTAAGGGTATAATCTGCTAAAGAATAACAAATCTGTCATTATTAAAGCCCTTAAGATATTATTCTTTTTAAATTTCTAAAGACATTTGAAGAAAAACACAGAGAATCATCTGTTGTTTGTATAAATCTGGCATGAGGATGTTGTTTGAAATTGTATTTTCCAATCAGAAATAATTACAGGTTAGAAGTTTGAATTTAATTCGGTGGCGAACAATCGACAAAACCCCATTTGTTAATGTTAATAACATATATATGAGGGACTGCTGCACAAATTCCTGTGTATAAAATAATTAATTCTCTATCTATTCAATTTTTCTTCTTACACTTGCAATACATCAACATCTTAATAGAGTTTAAAAAACTGAATAAAGGGTTAATAAATGCTCACAAATATAAACGCTTGTTTAAATTATATCCGGTAAGACATGATTAGGAAATTCTTCCACAAATTGGTTCTTAAACTATAGAAATTTCATCAATGAAACCAGGTGATATACAAGGACGGAGATTGAAACATACAAACCATTATTTTTTGCTCTCATCTGTTGTAGAAGTTAATAAAGTTATGGAAAAATATTGTAAATAAAACACAGGCAGGGACTCTGGAACTCTAATACAAGTCCTAATAAATTCAATTAGCTGCTAAAAAGATATTTAAGCATCAATTTAGTAAATTCTTGATAATAACCACTCGACTCCAAAGATTAAACATCATCACATATGACATTTATAATAAGGTAAAGGTCTAACATAAATTAAGTTGTTAAAGTATTATCAAGTTGTTGTTTTCATTCTTAAAATAAAGTAAATATTCAAAAGTGTTAAATAGACAAACTGCACTTAAAGGCTTAATTCAAACAATCCATCTGTAAAATGTATGGGGACCAAAAAGTAATGAAGCGTTAATTAATTATATGCACTGGTTGTAAATCCTTATGAAGCCTTAATAAATGATCTCATACATTTAGTGTTCCTTTATGCATCATAATAGTACTAAAAATCTGTTAATAAACATATAATTAGTCAATGATTTGTCTTTTGTATGGTAGGGCTTTTTATAATAAATGGTAACAAGGCATTAAAAGTTTAGTAGGTAAGGTGTAGTAATGCATACTTGTTAAGAGTACCTTCTAAAGTACCGTACCACTTTGGGAGAGTGATGGAGCCATAATTTTGTTATGATATTTGGTGCTACTGGTGTGATAATAAGTTGCAAAAAGAACTATAATGTTGAGTCACTAAACTCAATAACAGCATTTGGAGCATTTCTTTTTAGATTAACAGCAGAAAAAATAATCAAAATTAGGTGAATACAGCCATTTATTTTCTTAGATTTAAAAAAAAAAGACTAATCTTGCTTTATTGTTGTGAGGATAAATCAAAATTTTGATTGTGACTGAAATGTATCATCATAATGATAAATGACACGATAAACACCACCCTAATTAAAATCCCTTTGCTTTTCCACGCCGTGTCACATTATAACATTAAACCTCTGTGCAGTTTATTGGGATTCATATCTGTTAGAGCAACACAAAGATTAACAT